TTTTTGTTTTAATTTTCAAATAACTTTTGAATTTTTTTGCGCGAATGCATTTAGCATTTTAATTTAGTATTTCTCCTCTCGTTTTCCATTTTCACTTATCAAGCATTAAACAATCAGTGGTAAGTAAGCGCTTGTCCTATTTACATCTTTGTTTTGTCCTCATCCTTTTGTATCTAAGATGTTTACCCAACTAGCCCAACAGTTAATTTTAAATCGTAAGGTACTATTGTATGCTATAAATATATTTGTTACCTGTGAACCACCCAGTGCAAAGGCTCTAAGGCCGAAGGCCTTAGAGCCTTTGCGGATATGACATGCACGCCTGTGGACATGGCATGCAGCGCCTGTGGAGAAGACGAAGAGACCTTCCGAGCATTTGCTGCTCACATGCCAGAGGGTCCTGCCAGCGCCCATCGGGGGCTCCCGCATCGAGCAGGCACTCGGCTTCACAAATGAACATGACCACGTGGCCTGTTCTAGGGAAAAACTGGAGGCGTGGTGGCAAGTGCGACGGTGATTTGCACGCCGAGAAGTCAGCGCGTATCGACTGAACCACCGTGATCGTGTAGCTGTGTCCCTCCGCCCACCAGGGTTCACCTACAACTGATGGTGGGTCCTGACGACCTCCCCCACCCCCCTCTTTTCCACCTTCTTTTTTTCTTTTTTAACTTTTTTGGTGTGTCCAACTTACTCTCGTTTCACAAAGATTGCGCCGCAGAATACAATACAATACAATCGAGACTGTTGCCAGACTTCTAGATAAAAAAAGAGCGTGATGAAACCGAAACATTTGAACAAAAGAAATTAATATCTGGTTTGTTGCCTGGAGGCAACACTCGTCAACAAAGGGTGCTGTCACCGTGGCGCCAGAATAAGCTGACAGACGCATTCTTCCTATACAAACAACGCGCGGTTCCTACGTTCGCCGTTGCGGTGGCGCTACTATCGTCAAGGTGCACGCGCAGACACTTTGCGTCACGCGAATCTGGTTTCTGCGCACGCACAGTGCGCAGATCCTCGTGTGGGAAACCAGACCCTGGTGCGGGAAAATGCTGCATTGTTTGTGAACAGTGTGTTCGTCTATAAAGTTCAGTGTGATGTTTGTCATCTAGAAGCGCTCGAGGTACTTCAATAGACCCCTTTCAAAAGTCCACGCCCTCTGCTGGAAGCCGCAGAATGCCTTCGAAATGGCGGCCTAAAACAAAAACGTCAGGCCGCGCTTTCTGCGCCTGGCTGGACTAGAAGACAACAACAAACACACAGAATAAGTGATGAACGCAGTCAGTGACGTTGCGCTTCAGGCATTGTTTGATTAGCTCGTCCGGTCCTACAGCGTTGGCTACGTTTCGACGTTTGTCTGCCATGTTATATATGAATGCAAGACGGCGGTGTCGGTTGCTCCGCAGCGGTTCCAACCCTTTTCGAAAATGTGCACTATCTAGTAGCTGCTGCGCCGATCATCTTAGTTCGCCATTGTTTGTGCACGTATTCTGAAGATATATTGGACGCGAGAGTTGCATCAGCGCTCGGCGTGAACTCGGCTCAGCTATAGTAACGTAAACAAGTGCTGCGTCGGGGACTCGGGGTTCGGTGAAGACTCGGATCAAATCACACGCTTCGTGTCCAATGGGTGGAAGGATGGACGCCAACGGCTGTACCCTTTATATCGGGCGGTAGCTTACGCCACCTAGCCTCGAAATTAAGAACCGAAAGTATGATTTCCTCCAAGAAATGGTGACCGCCAGTGGTTTTTGATGCAATTTTGAAAAGTGTCCATAGACGGGTGACTTTCGAAAGGGGTCTATGTCTCCTGATACGACAACGGGAATGGACATGGTGAGACAGCGACCGTGTCTCAATCTAGAAAGTCATACTAAATGTCGCACTGCAGATCTCATTATCCTTCGCTACTTTTCATAAATAATAACCGGCCCTTTTCAGTCGTTGAGGTCCTTCTGCTTTTCGTGATGAGTGGCTGCCAGCGTGCGTGTCCAAAAAGCAATGAATGTTCGACCGACAAAGACGTCGCCAAATGATGAAATTCGGCGCTTTTTTTTTTTTTTTTTTTTTTTTTATCGTTTTCAATTTTTTTCAAGTGACTTTTTCTGGGACCGCAAAGTGATACTCTGCCCCGGACTGCAAAGTGATACTCTACCCCGAAAGAGCTCCACGCCAGAGTATGTAAATACACTTCAACCCGAGTTGTGTTTTGATGACCATCAGCGAACGATAACACAGCGGGGCCCGATAGAGAGATACCTGGCAAAGGGTGCGGTGCGCACTTTTTTTCTATTGACCAGACGCGGCCGCCTTTTTTGCGCGTTAATTTTTGCGGTCGCCTTTAATGTGTCCCTTCCGTTCACTCGTGCCCCTCTCCCTCCTCTCATGCACATTTATCGCGTTTCATTCGCTTCGGGAAAGAGGAAGGCTCGTGGCCATTTTTCTTTCTCTCCCTCTACCGAACGTGACCAGTGGGCAGGACGTGACCGCGGCTTCGAGACCAAGCCCAGCGATGTCCAGCGCTAAAATGGAGAATACCACCCCTTCCCTCTTCTGCTGTCACCCCGCAGGCTTCTGTCGAGCGGGGTCGTTTGTGTGTACCTGCTTAATGGCGGCTACCGCGCATAAAAAGAAAGTAAAATCTGAGGAGGGTGGTAGCGAAAGAGGAGGAGGGAAAGGAGGAGAGAGGTAGTTTGCAAGTCAGCCCGTCTGGAACCGAGGACACGGGTTTTAACCCCTTTCTTCCCGAGACCTCCTCGCCCTCGATGACGTCGTGGGGTGGGTCTGCGCTATCCCCGATGACCAGTGGCAGACGAGAAATCCTGCTTGGTTCGGAGCTCGTTGGGGAGTGGTTGCCTTTACGGTGGGCTTCAACGGGAGTTGCAACAACTGGATGTAACCGGTGCTCCTGGAAACGAAAACAGGCTTCTAGGGACCTCCGGGTGTCGACCTAGTCTGGCGAAAAAGATTTGTCAGCTAGCGTCCCTTGGTTATTCGGTGTGGTCGGGTAACGGGCGTCGTACACCACCGTCTGAACCGACGGGTACTGCGCCGTGGCAAGAGTTGTGTCCGTCGTGTCCTGGTGTGCGTGCCAGGGGCGTGCGTCTTCATCGTTCCTCCAGAAGGTCGGATGGGATTTCCAACGTCCTCTCCGAGGTTTTCCAGAGTGTTTGTGTGGGTGGCGTAAGGAGGGTGCGGTGTGAAACCCAGCGGAGCGTGGTCCTATTCGCATCGCTGAGAGGGCGCCGCGCGCGAACGTGAGTGGGGTGGCATGTGCAGTGGAGAATGGAAAATCGCCGCCTGGTCGACAACCACGAACAGATCGAAGAGGGTCCGTACCGCGACCTTGGCCGTTTGAAAAAACCGACACTGTTGGATAACTCAAGCGTGTCCCCCCATCCCTGCACAAAAATTGACCGCGTTACCCACCACCTCTTTTTTTTCTTCCTTCATCGATACTTCGCGTTATTTTTCTATTTTAATTAGTTTAATTGTCTTCTGCCTCATGCGCGGCGTTCAAGCTGTACATGTTTACGCCGGATTGTTGGTTATTAAATGAGCTAAAGACGCGGGAGTAGAGGCATTGGAATATTAATCGGGGTTCATTTATGATAAGTATATTAATCGCGCCAATTTTGCCAACCGGGGCACGAAATGCAACATTGTCTTTGTTTTTTTAGAAGCTGAGGATACATATGATAACTGCGCTGTTCTTGACTTTTAGTGAACCTTTATGTGGACATACTTAGTCAAACCGCGTTAATGACTAAAACATGAGGCTCACAACGGTTTGACCTCGCCTAATGGCAGCAGTTTGCCACAGGTCTTTGACAGAAGGGACGGCTTGACAGGAACTTTTTTTTCCTTTTTCTTTTCGAAACGTGAACCGCTTAGGACAATTGTTCGTCGAGAAAGAAGGGGGGAACGCGGCGCATGACGTCCGTGCAGAACAGTTGAAAACATAACAATAAAAAAATACAGCCATGGCGTCGGACAGCAGTCCCACGCAAGATGGCGTCCGTCGCCTTGGCAACCGCTGGAACTCAGAGGAAGCTATCATGGACCCGATTCGTCTGCTACAAGAGCTGGAGCGAGAGGCGCACGAGAAGCGCCGCGGGAAGCGGGCCCAAGCGGCCGTCGACGCCGCGGACGCGACGGCCGCCAGGATTTCCAACGGACCTTACATGCTCCTCGATGACATGGCAGCCAACACCGACAAGACTCCTCTTCTCAAAGACACGTCAACACTCAATGGACCAGGTGGTCGGCGGAAAGGCAAAGGGCCAGCTGCTCGGAAGAAGCCGCCGAGCGTTAAGGAGAAGACAGGCGTCGGGGGTCGGGTGGCATCCACCCTCCCTGTCAACCGACATGGCAAGAATGGGGGCAAAGCCGGCAAGGCAACGGTGAGGCCCCTTGAACTGAACTCGACCAAACTTGCGTTTGAGGAGAAGAAGGCGCTGACGCCCGTGCCGGAAGAAAGTAAGAAGGACGAATCCTCGCCGTTCGACTTTAGGGTCCAGGAGCCGACGGAAGTCTTCGTACCAGAACCAGTCTTGAAGACAGCACCCTCGTTGGAACTTCCAGAATCTACGACAGAGAACAAGCCGAAGGAGAAGACGAGCGTGCTTTCGAGGATGAGAGACGCGGCGAAAAAGATAAACGTGGCTCCTAGCAAGCTACAACAGACGGTGCTGAACGCCAAGCTTCTTCACAGCAAACTGACCCACTCCAAGTCCACCCCGGTACTGGACACGGCCGAACACCAGCAGAGCGAGGCGGCGGGGGCTCAGCCGCAGCAGGAGTCGGAACAGCTTGAGTTCCGATTTTCGGAGTCGCCCGACTCCTTCCTCGAGGATTCGCCCGAGAAGGAGTCGACAGAGAAGACGGTGGAAGAGGCGAAGGCCGACGGGGATGACGCGGAGAAGCCTCCGGAACAGGAGAAGCCCAAGGGGGCCACGTGGACGGGGGTCTCCACGAACCCCGAGTTGGCCCTCAAGATTCTGAACATGTCGAGGAGGGGAGACTGGTTAGGAGTGGATGCCTTGCTCAAACACGTCGAGAAAGGTGACCTGCCATCGGATCTCGCGGACGAGGTAAGAGCAAACTTATTCGCTGAGGGTCGAAGTTCGCAGACTCGTCTCTACCTCTACTGGTACCAGAAAGAATACAAAAGTAGGCGAAGGTGGGCCGAAAACTCGAACAAAAAATCTTACGGGAGCCTCAGAGACTAAGTGAAATAGACCATATCGAATTAACCTGAGAGTGAGGTAGAGAAGAAACACCTAAACGTAGAAGGGACAGAAAATAGACAGTACGACGCCTCAAAAAGAGAGACGTCGTTTGAGACGTCGTCCTGTCCATTTTCTGTCCCTTCTACGTTTTGATGTTTTTTCTCTACCCCAGTCTCCGGTTAATTCAACGAGGTTAATATTCACCAGCTCGCCTGCACCCTTACGATTTTTTTATGAAATAGACTACTTACGTCTTTTGTCTTATCTGAGTTTCTGCTATTATAAGTCTCCTAGCGACACGTCAACCATTAATGTTATTATTGGAAATCTATATCATTGACGTAGATTTTTTAAACTGAATATCATCAGGTGTCAGGAAATTAGTTATTAAACCCTCCAAAACATTGGGGTGTGTGTATGTATATACAGCTTAGAACTTAGTCTGCCTCAACGGGCGACTTGTCTCCTAGCTATAGATGAGAAATTTAGCCAGTGCTGTAAAATCGCTAGCCTGAGGTCTTTAACGTGTATCACGCAGTAGTGATACACGACCGCATTACGGTGCAATGCTCCTCCACATCGAAACGGGAAGGGGTTGGGATTGAATAGAATCCCTGGGTTCTGGACATTAAACTCGCATAAGCCAGTTGCAGCGTTGCAGAAGTCATGAATGCCTGGAGTTGGCGTGTTTTGCCTCCATACACAAGTAATTGTATAGGACACTGCTATTGCTACCTGAATTTACACAACGACACGAAAGTGATGTCCCGTGAGATATGAAGCAAACAAACAATATTTCTTAAAAGTAAACATTTCGGCGGAACTCCGCCTGGTTAGGTAAGTATTAAGACAGGGTACTTTGTAGATTCTAATCAATTTCTTTCTTGGTTTTGTTTCTTGGTTAGAGTCTACAAAACAATATTTCATCAAAAGATGAACAAAATAAGACTCGAATGGAAATGCTCAGCAACATAAATAGGCCTGGCAGTACTCTGCAACTATAGGGATGGCAGTCCGTTTTTGGTGATTCTGAACAGCGATGGAATACAGCATGAACTTGGAGCAATGACATGGATGGCTATGCACGCATTTCTCAATAAAAAAGGAAGACTTCTTTAAAAAAAAAAAAAAAGTGGCTTCGTTCCAAGGTTCCGCTTGTGAAAATCATTGAAGTCGCTGCATCGTTAACAGAAATAGGTTAACGAGTTACAAGTAGCGCGCCTAATAGGACTCTGCCAATTATTATAATAACCGGTGACAGCTGGTAAGAGCGCAACAGAAGCATTACCTCCTGCAGGCCCTCGCTGCCTTCCGTTGTGCTTTGGTTGCGTGTGACGAAGTGTCATCAAAGGGCAGAAATACCTCGCCGGAGGTGGAGGAGCGTCTACCGGGTTTCTTAACCATCTACTGAAGGTCGCCTTCAGCCGCGCTTCCACACCGCTGCTACATCGTACGAGACACAGCCTGCAGACACTGCCCTTAGGAACATGTGTCTTTCTTGTACGACGGCTCCGTCACATCGACCATAAAAAAACTGTCTGCACACATATGTTCGAAGCATACACATGTGTGCCGCAAACATGATTCCAACATTCTTCGGACGTCTCGAGAAATAATGCTGTCATCATGCAGTCAGCGAACACCTTGTATTCTTGGATGGATGGATAGATGGATGTTATTGGCTATACCCTTTAGAACGGGCGGTAGCTTGCGTTACCTATCCTAAGTGTGTGATATAGATTAATTATTGTATGCTATAGAGCATTTCGATTGCGAATTTAAGAAAACAGCATCTTCTCCAAAGCAAAGGACAGACGTTAGTGTGATATTTAAAGTGCCATCTCTCATTTTTGTTTTCTTTCGCAGGTGACAGGGTTCACCCCACTCATGTACGCCGTCAAGGACAGCCGAGTGGGACTGGCGGATAAATTTATAGACATCGGTGCCAACGTGAATGCCAAAGCCAAGGTGAGTGGCCGAAGCATTCCACGCTCTGGCGGAGGAGCTATACACGCGGCTTGCATGCATGGGGACGTCATCGTGCTGGTGGTCACTCCTATACTTTTTTTTCTTGCCGAGAAAAACAAATTCGGTCTCGCGAAATGTGCGATGAAGAAGGTACGCAGTCAACAGCAAGGCCGCCTAAATGGCTTTTGGTGCGGCGACGGTGCGCGCCCTGACGAGGCACTCGCCACGCTGACCGAAAAACACGACATGACCCCCAGAATATATTTGATGCATTAAGAGGGTGTGGTGCATGCTTCTTTCCAAGTGGATTTTTTATGTGTTTTACTGTCAGGCATCTGTTGGGGTGATTTATTTGCGCTCCTATAAGAGCGGTGGGTAAAAGGTGCGGATGGCGATAACTTCTTACCGAGAGCACACATTACATTTATCTTTAAGTCTCACTCGAATAAAATATAATGCTGAAAACAAGCAGATGAATGGCTTTCGGGTATAAATTTCCATTGCATTAGTTATGAACAGAAATCTTACTATTGAGTTGAAAATTAGATTAAATTGTGTTTCATTGAACTACTATACTGAGGTGTCTGTAATCCGACCTCGGAAGAAGCAAAACGCGTAACGCTGTTCTAGAGAATATGGGGATGAAAACACTAATACAGTGCAACCAGTAAAGTACAAGACAAACAAATAGAACGGCACAGTGGGGATTAACAACAATGAGAACAAAGATTGTTGCGAAATGCGGTGGGATCCGTCCGGGTTACAATAAGTGAGGGGAGGTTGTTCCAGTCTACAATAGAACGAGGCAGGCCTTTATATACAACTATTTTTAGTGAAGACTGTGTCCCCTGAATTACGAGGTGTAAGTTTCTTTTTCGACGCCTTGTGTAGTTTTGCAGCTTCAAGAGCACCGGATAAGGTGTTCTAGTACAACCCACCACGGAGCAACCCGACCGCCTACGGCGCCCCTAGGTACAGCGCCAAATTTACCCCTAGTGGCATCAACGCACGGAGGAACCACGCTGCCCTAGGGGAAGGAAGCGAGCTTTTCACACCTCCCCTTCTGATAAACCCTAACTAAACTATGGCCGCTAGTAATGAATGTCACATTCGGCACCAGAACGTGCTTCGGCGAGCAAGGAGTCTAAAATCTTAACGCGGTATCGCTGGGGAGCGCCTACAAATTACGGCTGCTGCTTAAGCATAACATAACAAGCAGAAATAGCCCGATGGGACGGCTGAAAACATAGCAGAAGAACACGGCGATAGAAGCGGCAACACGCAAAGTAACTTTCTTGAGTATACGAACAAGACATCTGGGCACATGCTTGCTTGACAAACAGCTAACCGGCTAAATGACCGCTGAGAAGAGGGTATACTAGCATTTTTAATACCGGTTTTCGAGTGGATGGCGGTTTTCTGTGAGTGTAGTATTTTGGCATTGTTCGTATTTATAGTGTCCGTAAATCGATAACATTCATTTTTTTTCGACTTTTGACAAGATTTTTTTTTTTTTTTTTTTTTTTTTTTTACGAGCGATTGTTTTAATTTTGGGTAGTGAAGACCTGCATTTTTATCAGTTTAGCGGGGAAATTGATTTGGTGGATAGGTCATGTGACGTGCATTTTCCAGCTGAGTTTAGCAGGCATATGGAATTGGTGTATACGTCAATTTTCCTGCTAAATTGAGTGGGGACATTGAATGGGTGTGTAAGCAAAGTGACGGCAGGTTACGTGACATCAATTTTCCCGCCAAATTTAAAGGGGAAACTAAATTGGTGTATTGGTCACGTGACGTCCAGTCACATGGCATCAATTTTCCATTCCAAATTTAGTGGAGAAACTGCATTGGGTGTCTAGGTCTCGTGACGTCAATTTTCCCGCTAAATTTAGTGGGGAAACTAAATTGGTGTTAAGGCCCACGTCACATCAAGTTCCCCGCTAAATTTAGCAGAAAATACACGGACGGACGGACGGACAAAGTTTGAAGATTGAGGGGGTTCTGTTAAAAAACATTTCATGCTTTAGTTTACCACGTGGTTTCTAGCTGGCTCGTGGTTGGACATTGTGTTCCATAGGTTTGGCTGTAGTCCGTTGGACGAAATACAGAAACATTGGCCCAGAATGTGTAGCGTGGACGCTCGCAGCAGTCTGAATCCGCAATTCCGTTCGGCGTGCATTTATTCCACATTTTCCTGTTTCACATTTTGGCCGCTAGGGTGCGCCTCTTTTCGCAGCACGCTCGAATAGGTGGCAGCACTCTACTACCTCTCATTCGCGTCTTCTCAGAGTACTCATTGAAAACTTTGGGACCTCTGTCTGAATAAATATTCTATGAATTAACGGCTTTACCAGCTGGTACGTGACTCGACTAGGTGGCGTTAATTCATCCAGGGTTGCGACTACCTCGAACACAGCTCAAGAATGTCTTGTTTCATTACCCAAAATATTTAATCGGTTATACGTAGTGTTTATGTATTGTTTACTCGTGTTTTTATATTTTGTGGATACTGTGAACCTTGTCAATACTCAACCAAACTGTTATCCGACAACTCTTACTGTTCAATCGCGTTTACTATATCCCCCTCTCGTGTAATGCAGTTCATTGGAGGTGCTTTCGAGGAAAAATAAACTGAATGAAACTGAACGCCGATACAATTTCACGACAAAAATGCGATAGCAATCCGGCAAAGAGAAAAAAAGAGAAAGAAAGGTGACCCTATAACAAAAGGCGATGATTACAAGGCGCTGAGCGGTGGCGGCGTCTCAATGATCTCACCCGGAGGCGGCGGACTAAAAGGCCTGAATACAAAGCAGCGGAACAACCATCGGCCCCATGTTCCCGTCGGACGATGGACATTGTTCTCGCAATCCTCTAAAAGGTACGGGCAAGAATCTCCTGCCGGGTCCGTAGCCAACTCGTCAGCCAAATTGAACCGGCGGCTGCAACGCGCCCACAAAATAGGGGACATGAGCTGTACATCCTTTTCACTCTTACTGGTCAAAATGCCCGGTAGTGCTGTATTTATTTTTTGTTTGTTATTTAACGTTTTGGCATAATGTATCCCGAGATGATTTAGCTTGCAAGCAAAGACACGTGGCAACGATGTGTTCATCCTGTTTTGTTTTTTTCCCCCACAAATCGTGGTGTTTTTTTTTTTTTTTTTATGAGAAAGTTGTCATGGACGAGCGTCATAAACGAGTGTCATGAACGAGCGTCATTAAAGAGCGCCAGTGTGGTCTCTGTGAGACACATTATGTGCTTCCTGGTCTCTGTCAGCATAATCAAGATCGTGTTCTTTTCTGTGTGTGTGTTTTTTTTTTTTTTCATTGTATGCTACAACGTATCTCAAAAAAAAAGTGACAAGTTTTTTTTTTTGTTTTTGATTTTTTAATAGCAAAAATAAACTTCATATTTTCCAACATCTCCTACCAAATGTCGTGCCAGCGTTCCAAACCAGATGCGGAAGTCTCGGAACTAACCTTCATCTTATTCAAAAATTATGAGTGTTTTTGTTTTAAGCTTTCAGTGGAAAATATGAGGGCCTGTTCATATACGTAGACAGAATGACGCCATTGACCCCCACGTAGATACGACAAAGCGCACAAGAAACGAAGAGGATTGTGCACGGGGTACACAGTACAAGCGCTTACTCTCAGTTGAAGTTCTTATTGAAAATAAACTCCGAGGTATACAGCATTCCGCACCATCATGGCCAATTCAGCATGTGTCCATAAAACATATCGTTTTGCTATCTAGGAGGACCGATGTTTTCCTTACACGTTGCCCAGTCCCTGCTTTTTTGATCGTGTAGGCCTCTATAATTTATGCAGACTGTGAATGCCAGCCCGACTTCCACCAAGTAAACGATTGCTGGAAGGGGGCGGGGGAAGATATCAGATGGCTAGGGAAATATTAGAAACCTACACGATCAAAGAATAAAGGACTAGGCAATGTTTAAGTCAAACATTGGTCCTTCTACATAGCAAAGAGATGTGTTGTTCCGAATTAGCCATTATGGTGTAGAATGCTGTTGTTTACTTCGGCGTATATTTTCAATAAAAACTTCAGTTGAAAGTACGCGCTTGTCCTGCGTACCCCTTCTACTTCGTTTCTTGTGCGCTGTGTCGAATCTCCTAAGCATGAACCAACTAACCCGCGTCGCCACCCCAATTCATCCCCCCCCCCCCCCCCCCCGTAATTGTGGGCTTCGTCGGACATAATTGTTTCCATTCAAAATGTTCGAATATCGCTCGTAAGAAGAGTGGTTGTTTGGGCTGCAGTGGTTGGTTAGACCTCTTATGCAATCTTGTGCGCAGCAAGGAAGAGGACAAAAGGGAGAACAGGACACAACGAGGCGCTTATAACTTTTGAATAAAATAATTAATTATTCTGAAAATTTGCTATCTGATCCGGACCGCTGAACATTTGCTTTTGGTCGGAGACACTTTGTATAATATTTTTATTTTACTGTAAATAATTGTATATGCGAGACACTGTTGGCGCTTACACAACATCGGCGCTTCAAAATGGCACAGGCGGGCACGAAAAGTGCCCCAATTAGGGACTTCCCATCACACTAGTAGTTTAGATGTCAGTCTTTCGATTCTAAAGGGGGAAAACAAAGCAGCAATGGATTGTTGGCTCTAAAGGTGTGGTCGCACTGCTCAAAACATCATACAAAAGACAGTCTGTACAAACTGTCTTTCACTGGCTTCGCGCTTCAATCACCGAAATACTCGCGACCCTCGGTTGTCTAAAGCTTATCTCCGACTCCATTTAAATCGATGGCAAGTAAGGGTTCAAGACAAAAACCTGCGGCGTTAGGTTCGCTCGCCAGCATTATCGAGCAAATCAGTTGTGTTATAAGGACGAAGCCATGGAGATATGCACTAAAACGTGCGAAAAAAATCGTCAGTATTTACTGATAATATAGTATGTTCTTGCCGTGAGTCCCAGATGTTTAATATTAACTTAAGACCGAGATAATAAAAATACAT